TTGAGAACTTTTTTTTTTTTTCTTTGAGACGGAGTCTGGCTCTGTAACCCAGGTTGGAGTGCAGTGGTGTGATCTCGGTTCACTGCAACCTCCACCTCCCAGATCCCAATTAAGCAATTCTCCTGCCTCAGCCTCCTGAGTAGCTGGGATTACAGGCATGCACCACCATGTCCAGCTAATTTTTATATTTTTAGTAGAGATGGGGTCTCACCATGTTGTTCAGGCTGGTCTTGAACTCCTGACCTCCTGATCCGCCTGCCTTGGGAACTTCTCTTTTATTATCCCTTTGAATAAACTTGCTTTGAAGCTCAGGCTGGAGTTTAGTGGCACCCTCGGCTAAGTGCAACCTCCGCCTTTTGGGTTGAAACAATTCTCCTACCTCAACCTCCCAAGTAGCTGGGACTCCAGGTGCACACCACCATGCCCGGCTAATTTTTGTGTTTTTAGTAGAGATGGGGTTTCACCATGTTGGCCAGACTGGTCTCAAACTCCTGATGTAAGTGATATACCAACCTCGGCCTCCCAAAGTGCTGGAATTACAGGCATGAGCTGCCACTCCCAGCCCCTTTGAGTAAACTTTCTGCCCTTATCTCTTTCTCGATATCCTCTTTAAAGCCAATAACTCTCAGATTTGCCCCTTTGAGGCTATCTTCTAGATCCTGTAGGTGTGTTTCATTGTTTTTTATTATTTTTTTCTTTTGTATCCTGACTGTATATTTTCAAATAGCCTTTCTTCAAGCTCACTAATTCTTTTGCTAGATTCATTCTGCTATTAAAGGACTCTGATGCATTCTTCAGTATGCCACTTTCATTTTTCCAGTTCCAGAATTTCTGCTTGACTCTTTCTAATTATTTCCATCTCTTTGTTAAATTTATCTGATAGAATTCTTAATTCCTTCTGTGTTTGCTTGAATTTATTTGAGTTTCCTCAACACAGCTATTTGGAATTCTCTGTCTGAAAGGTCACATATTTCTTATTTTTCCGAGACTTGTCCTTAGTGCCTTAGTTAGTTCATTTGGTGAGGTCATGTTTTCCTGGATATTGTTGATATTAGTAGATGTTCTTCAGAGTCTGGGCATTGAAGGGTTAGGTATTTATTGTAGCCTTCACTGTCTGGGCTTCTTTGTACTCATCCTTTTTGGGGAGGCTTTCCAGATATTTGAAAGGACTTCAGTGTTGTGGTCTAAGCAGTTTCTACTTTAGGGGATGTTGGAAATAGATGCTCAGTGCCGCAAAGAAAATCAGCACTGAGACAAAGGATCTTTCAGCAACGCAATTTTTACTTCCTGGACTGCAGGAAGGGTACCCTTGTTACCTATCATGCCACAAAAGTAAAACGAACAAAGGAAAACACACAGATCTATCCCTTATGCATTTGGGGTCATCCTTACTGCTGTGTTTGATCTCCCCTGGCTGCAGACAGACCTCACATTTAAACTAAAACCAGATTGACTAACAACTTAAAACTTTTTTAAACAGATAAAAGCAGTGGAGAGCTGGGATATACCTGTGAGCACGTCTAGCACAAATATTTTGGTTAAAGTACAAGGACATAGACTGTACTACATGCCTGTAAGCATGGCACGTTTAACAGCTACATAGGATAGGGCTTAACAAAGTTATTAGCACACTTATTCTTTAATAAGAAAGGAAACTTTAAGAAGGAAATTTTCTACTTCCCACAGGGGACATCCCAAGCCCAATAACGCTGTGATTCTTGCAGACTCATAGAGGTACTGCCTTGATGGTTTTGGACAGGATCTGGAAGAATTCTCTGGATCACCAGGCAGAGACTCTTGTTCTTTTCCCTTATTTTCTCCTAAACAGAGTGTCTCTGTTCTGAGCCACCTAAAGCTGGGGTGAAATGACACAAGCACCCCTGTGGCCGCCACCAATACGACTGTGTTGGATCAGACCCAAAGCCAGAACAGCTCTGGGTTTCACCCAAGGTCTGCTGCAAATACTCCTGGCTACTGCGTAGCTGATCAAGGCCCTGGAGCTCTACAATCAGGCACTGGCAAAACCATCCAAGCCTGTGTCCTTTCCTTCAGGGTGGCAAGGTCCTGCAAGCCTGAGGTGGGTCCAGAAGTGACATCTAGGACTCACGACCTAGAGTCAAAAACCTTAGAAGTCTACCTGTATGCCAAATTATTGTATTATGGCTGAACTGGCACTCAAACCACAGGATGCAGTCCTTGCCACTCTTCCCTTTCCAAAGGCAGAGGAGCCTCACCCCATAGACAGTCACCCTAGGCCAGGAAGAGTACTGCTGGACTACCATAGATGTTCCCTTAAGGCCCAGGAGCTCTTAAATCAGCTTGGGATTAATGCTGCCTGGTCTGAGACTCACCCTTCAGAGCAGTGAGCTCCCCTCAACTCAGGGCAGATCCAGAAGTGTTATCCAAGAGTCAAATCCTGGAATCAGGGATACCAGGAGTCCACTGGGTGCTCTACCCTTCTGTGACCATGCTGGTACCTGAAGCCAGCAGGTCTCAGAGGCTCGCCCAAGGCCCTCAACATAGTACTTGGGTATTGCTAATAGTTATTCAGGGCCCAAGGGCTTTTCGGTTAATAGTTGATGAATTCTGCCAGGACTGAGTCCTTTCCTTCAAGGCAGTCAGTTCCCTTCTGGCCTAGGGTGTGTCTAGAAATGAGGTCCAGGAGCTAGACCCTGAAACAGGAACCTCATAACTCTAACCAGTGCCCTATGCTGCTGTGGCTAAGCTTGTATCCAAGATGTAAGACAAAGTCCTCCCCCTCTTCTCTCTCTTCTCAAGTGGCAGAAAAAGGTCTCTTGTGGAGCTGTGAACTGTGCAGCCTGAGGTTAGGGGAGGGGTGATGCTATCACTCCCTTGGCTGCCCCAGCTGGTGTCTCAGTATGTCGTGTGCCCCCCCCTCCCCAGTCCACATTCTGTTGGCCAAGTTCAGCACTAAGGCTTGCCTAAGAGTTACAGTCCTTAAGGCCTAGACCAGGTGTTGCCAATCTTTTGGCTTCCCTGGGCCACACTGGAAGAATAATTGTCTTGGGCCACACATAAAATACACCAACAATAGCTGATGAGCTAAAAAAATAATTGCAAAAAGAATTTATGTTTTAAGAAAGTTTACAAATGTCTGTTGGGCTGCAGTCAAAACCATCCTAGGCTGTGTGCTGCCTGCAAGCCGCAGGTTAGAAAACTTGGCCTAGACTGCGTTTCAAGTTTACTTGGAGATCCAGAACACTGTAGCCCTTGGTGGAGAGGTTTGTGGGAACTCATGATGGGTGATTCTTCTCTGGCTGGGGGTGCTTTAAATGTTCCCTCCATGGGAAGGTGTCAGATGAGTTTAGTCCAGTTTTCCTTTCTGCTGTAACAGGACATCACTAAATTCAATGCCTCACAATTGCTGTGTTCTTCCATCCCCAGTTCCCAGAGATGCTCTTGGGAACACCATACCATTGCTGCCGGGAGCAGGGGACGGGTGGCAATGGCGATTCAGGACTGTTTTTTCTATCTCTTAAGTGCCTTTTTCAGTGATACAAAGTTAAAACCAATTACTATGGTTAGTCACCTGATTTTTGTTTTTTATGAAGGTGTTTTCCTGTGTAGATAGTTGTTAAATTTGTGTCCTGGTGTGGGGAGAGAGGGAACGATCGGTGGTCTTCTATTCCACCATCTTGCTCCCTATCCCAGAATCAGATATTTAGAGACCTAAGGCAGAACTAGTACTAAGCAAAATAATAAAGGAGTGGTTAATCTGTGTCACCCAACTGCCTCTTTTTTACCCTTTTCAGCTCCTCTTTAATTTTAGAATTTCCAGTTTTTTCCAAATACCTAGCCTGTGCTTTTTTCTTTTTCTCTCTTTTTTTTTCCCCCCTTCTTCCTGAGTGTAGCTTCCAGAAGCTCTGGGAGCTTGTGCTTGTTTTTTTGTTTGTTTGTTTGTTTGTTTGTTTGTTTTTTTGAGACGGAGTTTCGCTCTTGTTACCCAGGCTGGAGTGCAATGGCGCAATCTCGGCTCACCGCAACCTCCGCCTCCTGGATTCAAGCAATTCTCCTGCCTCAGCCTCCTGAGTAACTGGGATTACAGGCATGCGCCACCATGCCCAGCTAATTTTTTGTATTTTTAGTAGAGACGGGGTTTCACCATGTTGACCAGGATGGTCTCGATCTCTTGACCTCATGATCCACCCGCTTCGGCCTCCCAAAGTGCTGGGATTACAGGCTTGAGCCACCGCGCCCGGCCCGTGCTTATTTTTAAAGATGCCTTGACATAAGTAAAGTTTTATTCACTGATAGAACATCCCACCTGTAGACTCTTCCATTCTAGATGTTAGGAGAGATATTTTAGAGCAAGTTGGACCTGTTCCCCATTCTTTAAATTGTGCCATGTAAGTGCTCTCTGCCTGAGTACTTAAGTACGTGCCTGACTACAAAGTAAAGTCAGATTGCTTTCTCCTAATACAATAATCTAGGTTCCTCACTTCTGTGGTGTCTCCTATGAACTTCCATCACCACTTTCTTACTTTTGTCACTTCCTTTTTCTTTGTTAGTTTTTGATAAAATGCAAGTAACTAATTGTCTGTCACACTTAGATAGACATTTAATGGTCTATCACTTTACATTTAATTGCTGATTTGCATTTACTTAGCTGAGAACTGTGCTATAATGACTCTATTGCTCTGTATTTCTGTGACCCTGAAATAACATTTAGTAAAATCATTTATTTAGACTATCTCCACCACCCCCAGCTATTGCACTGTGGAAGTATTTTGCTTTTGAATAAATGAAGTTACCATAAATCCAACAGGAATTTTTCTTTCTTGTTCCAGCAAACCCTAAAATGTCTGTATTGTTTGACCTTTGTTACAGTTTAACAGATTCATTATTATTATATTATCTTGTTTTAGGGCTATCAGTTTTTTCGTATTCAACAATATAAGCTAGGATATAGATTATTCACTTGAGACGTTGTAATTTGGCTTTTGCCATTTTATTCCTTTTTTATGTATTTTCTAATACAGATGACATTGTAATCTGTAAAAAGTTTAAAAAGACAAATGCTGAAATAGAAAAAAGTGAAAGACAGATTCATAGTAAAAAGGATTCGCCTTCAAGACAGCAATCAAATGATCATGGACATCGCCATCAGAAAGGTAAAGTATGCTAAAAATAGTCACGCATGGTAAAAAGAGTTTGAAATATTTGTGAATAACTAGGTAAGCAAAACCAAGAATTCACAATACTGTTCTAAAGTTACATTATGTTGCTTGTTTTATTTTTTCTAGGCGTGGACCCATACAGGGTTGGTGCCATGCCATATGAATAAAAATTTATTTTAATGTATATGAATTACTTCCCTAATGGAGAATGGGATAAGAAAATTAGCCATATGAGCTGAGAGATATTTTGTCCTTGCTTACAAGCCTCGGTTGGTTGGTCCAGTTCTACTTTTAGGAGGCAGTACAGGAGGGTTAAGAGCATAGTCAAGAATCTGAACACTATGGCATCCACATTTTGAAAATACAAATGTTGTAGGACAAGAAGAGTAGGGTAGAACATGACAGATGTTCTCTGTATTCCTAACCTCACTGGTAAGTGCAGTACTGTATGTGTTTTTTTTAAATGAATATGCTACAGATTGCCATAATACAAGAAGTCTTTTCAACAATTAAAGGTCTTCATAGTCTAGTCAACAGATTGGAACCATTTTGACATTGTAATTACTTTAAGCCCCTAACGGTTGCCTATGCAGCTTCGTTTAAGTTCTTGTGTAAATCTTCAGTGGCTCAGCATGTTCTGAAAAAAGAAGCAATGGTAGTTATAATAGGGGCAGAGCAGCCAAGAAGGGTGACATGGCCCATTCTTATGTGCCTAACCAGTCATTGCAAAATTGATCTTCTTTGTGAGCCTTTTGGAGATCTATATTATTTGATGGTTTCTTAAACTGCCTTTATACCCAAACAAAGCAGACACTTTCTCTGTATCTCTCCTTTTTCGATTGGAGTATTCTTTCAATTAATTTCAGATAGTATGTCCCAACTTTGGTGGCATATGAAACCAAAATTGAGATATTATATACGGAGACTATCCTATTAAGGTATGTAAATTGAAATAGTATGGCAAAGACTTATAGAATTCAGTGAGACTCCCAGATGATATCAAAGTAATGAAATATCAAAAGTTTTGCAAAATCCAGTGCATAGCTTTTTTAAAAAAATGAGATCAGAGATGATACTTCTGAAAGATACGTTGAATTTACTACTTGAAAGTACAGAAAATGCTTATTTTTCAAAGGCTACTCAGGATTCAGAAGCAACTCTGAGGAAGGAAATCATGATAAACAACCATCCCAAGAACCTTCTGGATTGAAGTCTGGACAACACCCTTTAAATAGGCAGCCTTTATTTGAGCAGGTAAGTAAAAACCAAGAATTAACCAATATAAAAAGTCCTATATTTAATATATTTTTTAATATTAATGATTTACTTTAAACTCTATTGAAAGCAGGGATTGTTTCTTGGTATTCCTCCAGGATGCCTTGAACATAATTTAAATTCAATGTTTGGTAGTTGATTTTTCCCCTGCAACTATTTTTTTATGATTTTATTATTATTATTATTGTACTTTAGGTTCTGGGGTACATGTGCAGATCCTGCAGGATTGTTGCATAGGTACACACATGGCATTGTGGTGTGCTGCCTCCATCCCCGCCGTCACCTACATCTGGCATTTCTCCCATGTTATCCCTCCCTGACCTCCCCACCCCCTTGCTGTCCCTCCCTTGGCCACCATCCAACAGACCCCAGTGTGTGATGCTCCCCTTCCGGGGTCCATGTGTTCTCATTGTTCAACACCCGCCTATGAGTGAGAACATGCAGTGTGTGATTTTCTGTTCTTGTGTCAGTTTGCTGAGAATTATGCTTTCCAGATTCATCCATGTCCCTACAAAGGACACAAACTCATCATTTTTTATGGCTGCATAGTATTCCATGGTGTATATGTGCCACATTCTCATTGTCCAGTATATCATCAATGGGCATTTGGGTTTGTTCCAGGTCTTTGCTATTGTAAACAGTGCTGCTGTGAACATACTTGTACATTTTTTTTATAATAGAATGATGTATAATCGTTTGGGTATATACCCAGTAATGGGATTGCTGGGTCAAATGGAATTTCTATTTCTGTATCCTTGAAGAAGTGCCACACTGTCTTCCACAATGGTTGAACTAGTTTATACTCCCACCAACAGTGTAAAAGTGTTCCTATTTCTCCACATCCTCTCCAGCATTTGTTGTCTCCAGATTTTTTAATGATCGCCATTCTAACTGGAATGAGGTGGCATCTCAATGTGGTTTTGATTTACATTTCTCTAATAATTAATGATGATGAACATTTTTTCATGTTTGTTGGCCTCATACATATCTTCTTTTGAAAAGTGTCTGTTCATATCCTTTGCCCACTTTTGGATGGGGTTATGTGTTTTTTTCTTGTAAATCTGTTATAGTTCTTTGTAGATTCTGGATATTAGCCCTTTGACAGGTGGGTAGATTGCCAAATTTTTTTCCCATTCTGTTGGTTGCCGGTTCACTCTAATGATTGTTTCTTTTGCTGTACAGAAGCTTTGGAGTTTAATTAGGTCCCCTTTATCTATTTTGGATTCCATTGCCAATGCTTTTGGTGTTTTAGTCATGAAGTCCTTGCCTATGCCTATGTCCTGAATGGTATTGCCTAGGTTTTCTTCTAGGGTTTTTATGCTGTTATGTCTTATGTTTAAGTCTTTAATCCATCTGGAGTTAATTTTAGTGTAAGGTGTCAGGAAGGGGTGCAGTTTCTGCTTCCTGCACACTGCTAGCCAGTTTTCCCAATACTATTTATTAAACAGGGAATCCTTTCCCTATTGCTTGTTTTTGTCAGGTTTGTCAAAGATCAGATAGTTGTAGATGTATGGCATTGCTTCCAGGGCCTCTGTTCTGTTCCATTGGTCTATATCTCTGTTTTGGTACCAGTACCATGCTGTTTTGATTACTGTAGCCTTGTAGTATAGTTTGAAATCAGGTAGTGTGATGCCTCTGGCTTTGTTCTTTTTGCTTAGGATTATCTTGGCTATGCTGACTCTCTTTTGGTTCCATATGAAGTTTAAGGTGTTGTTTTCCAGTTATGTGAAGAAGGTCATTGGTAGCTTGATGGAGATAGCATTGAATCTATAAATTACTTTGGGCAGTATGGCCATTTTCATGATATTGATTCTTCCCAACCATGAGCATGGAATGTTTCTCCATCTATTTGTGTCCTCTCTTATTTTGTTGAGCAATGGTTTGTAGTTCTTGAAGAGGTCCTTTACATCCTTTGTTAGTTGTATTCCTAAGTATTTTATTCTCTTTGTAGCAATTGTGAATGGGAGTTCGCTCATGATTTGGCTCTCTGTTAGTCTTTTATTGGTGTATAGAAATGCTTGTGGTTTCTGCTCATTGATTTTGTATCCTGAGACTTTGCTGAAGTTGCTTATCCGTTTAAGGAGATTTGGGGCTGAGATGATGGGGTCTTCTAAATATACAATCATGCCATCTGCAAATAGAGACAATTTGACTTCCTCTTTTCCTAATTGAATACCCTTTATTTTTTTTTTTCTTGCCTAATTGCTCTGGCTAGAACTTCCAATACTATATTGAATAGGTGATGAGAGAGGGCATGCTTGTCTACTGCTGGATTTCAAAGGGAATGCTTCCAGTTTTTCCCCATTCAGTATGATATTGGCTGTAGGTTTGTGGCAAACAGCTTTTATTGTTTTGAGATCTGTTCTTTCAATACCTAGTTTATTGATAGTTTTTAGCATAAAGGACTGTTGAATTTTGTCAAAGGCCATCTCTGCATCTATTGAGGTAATCATGTGGTTTTGGTCTTTGGTTCTGTTTATGTGGTGGATTACAGTTATAGACTTGGGTGTTTTGAACCAGCCTTGCATCCCTGGAATGAAGCCTACTTGATAGTGATGGATAAGCTTTTTGATGTGCTGTTGCAATTGGTTTGCCAGTATTTTATTGAAGATTTTTGCATCTATGTTCATCATGGATATGGGCCTGAAGTTGTTTGTTGTTGTTGAGTCTCTGCAGGGTTTTGGTATCAAGATGATTTTGGTCTCATAAAATGATTTGGAAAAGATTCCCTCTTTTTGTATTGTTTGAAATAGTTTCTGAAGGAATAGTACCAGCTCCTCTCTGTGTGTCTGGTATAATTCAGCTGTGAAACCATCTGGACCTGGACTTCTTTTGGTTGGTAGGCTCTTAATTGCTGCCTCAACTTCAGCCCTTGTTATTGGTCTATTCAAGATATCAACTTCTTCCTGGTTTAGGCTTGGGAGGGTGCGAGTGTCCAGGAATTTATCCATTTCTTTCAGATTTACTGGTTTATGTGCATAGAGTTGTTTGTAGTAATCTCTGATGGTAGTTTACATTTCTGTGGAATCAGTGGTGATATCTCCTTTATCATTTTTTATTGCATCTATTTGATTCTTCTCCCTTTACACTTTTATTAATCTGGCTAGCAGTCTGTCTATTTTGTTGATCTTTTAGAAAAACCAGCTCCTGGATTTATTGATTTTTTGAAGGGTTTTTTGTGTCTCTACCTCCTTCAGTTCTGCTCTGATCTTAGTTATTTCTTGTCTTCTGCTAGGTTTTGAGTTTTTTTGATCTTGCTCCTCTAGCTCTTTGAATTTTGACAATAGAGTGGTGATTTTAGATCTTTCCTTGCTTCTCGTGTGGGCATTTATTGCTATAAATTTCCCCCTGGACACTGCTTTAAATATGTCCCAGAGATTCTGGTACGTTGTGTCTTCATTCTCACTGGTTTCAAAGAACATCTTTATTTCTGCCTTCATTTCATAGTTTATCCAGTTGGCATTCAGGAGCCAGTTGTTCAGTTTCCATGAAGCTGTGTGGTTCTGATCTAGTTTCTTAATTCTGAGTTCTAATTTGATTGCCCTTTGGTCTGAGAGACTGTTTGTTATGATTTCCATTTTTTTGCATTTGCTGAGGAGTGATTTACTTCCAATTATGGGGTCATTTTTAGAGTAGATGCTAGGCAGTGCTGAGAAGAATGTATGTTCTGTGGATTTAGGGTGGAGATTTCTGTAAATGTCTATTAGATCTGCTTGGTCCGGGTCTGAGTTCAAGTCCTGGATATCCTTGTTAATTTTCTGTCTCGTCGATCTGTCTAATATTGACAGTGGAGTGTTAAAGTCTCCCACTATTATTGTGTGGGAGTTTAAGTCTCTTTGTAGGTTGTTAAGAACTTGTTTTATGTACCTGGGTGCTCCTGTATTGGGTGTGTATATATTTAGAATCATTACCTCTTCTTGATGCTTTGATCCTTTTACCATTATGTGGTGCCCTTCTTTGTCTCTTTTGATCTTTATTGGTTTAAAGTCCATTTTATCAGAGTCTAGGATTGCCACTCCTGCTTTTTTTTTTGCACTCCATTTGCTTGATAAATCTTCCTCCAGCCCTTTTTTTTCAGCCTCTATGTGTTCTTGCAAGTGAGATGTGTTTCCTCAATATAGCACACTGATGGGTCTAGGCTTTTTATCCAATTTGCCAGTCTGTCTTTTGATTGGGGCATTTAGCCCATTTATATTGAAGGTTAATATTGTTACATGTGAATTTGATCCTGCCATTTTGATGCTAGCTGGGCTTTGCCTGTTAGTTGACACATTTTTTTTCATTGTGTCGATGGTCTTTACCATTTGGTATGTTTTTGGAGTGGCTGGTACTGGTTATTCCTTTCCTTATTTAGTGCTTCTTTCAGGAGCTCTTATAAGGTAGGACTGGTGGTGATGAAATCTCTCAGCAATTGCTTGTCCATAAAGGATTTTCTTTCTTCTTCACTTATGAAGCTTAGTTTAGCTGGATATGAAAATCTAGGTTGAAAGTTGTTTTCTTTAAGGATGTCGAATATTGGCCCCCACTCTCTTCTGGCTTGTAGGGTTTCTGCCAAGAGATCCACTGTGAGTCTGGTGGGCTTCCCTTATGTGGGTAACCCAACCTTTCTCTCTGGCTGCCCTTAGCATTTTTTCCTTCATTTCAACCCTGGTGAATCTGGTTATTATGTGCCTTGGGGTTGCTCTTCTTGAGGAATATCTTTGTGGTGCTCTCTGTATTTCCTGGACTTGAATGGTGGCCTGGCCTGCTGGGTTGGGGAAGTTGTCCTGGATAATATCCCGAAGAGTGTTTTCCAGCTTAGATTCATTCTCTCTGTTACATTCAGATACACCTATCAAACGTAGATTAGGTCTTTTGACATAATCCCATATTTCTTGGAGGCTTTGTTCATTTCTTTTCACTCTTTTTTTCTCTATTCTTGCCTTCCCATTTTATTTCATTGAGTTGATCTTCAATCTCTGATATCCTTTATTCTGCTTGGTCGATTCAGCTACTGAAACTTGTGTATGCTTCGCGAAGTTCTCATGCTGTGTTTTTCAGCTCTATCAATGCGTTTATATTTTTCTCTAAGCTGTTTATTTTAGCCTTTTTTTAGGTTCTTAGTTTCTTTGCATTGGGTTAGCACATGTTCTTTTAGCTCAGATAAGTTTGTTATTACCCACCTTCTGAAGCGTGTTTCTGTCAATTCATCAGATTCATTCTCCATCCATCTTTGATCCCTAGTTGGTAAGGAGTTGTGATCCTTTGGAGGAGGAGAGGCATTATGGTTTTTGGTGTTTTCATCCTTTTTGCACTGGTTTCTTCCCATCTTAATGGCTTTATCTACCTGTGGTCTTTGTAGTTGGTAACTTTCGGATGGGGTCTCTGCTTGTTGATGATGAAGTTATTTCTTTCTGTTTCTTAGTTTTCCTTCTAATAGTCAGGCCCCTCTGCTGCAGGACTGCTGGAGGTCCACTCTAGACCCTGCCTGCCTGAGGATCACCCGTGGAGGCTGCAGAACAGTAAGGGTTGCTGCCGGTTTCTTCTTCTGTTATCTTCATCCAAGAAAGATACTGGTCAGATGACGGCCTGACCTCTCCTTTATGAGGTGTCTCTTTGGGTATATGGGGGTCAGGGAGCTGCTTGAGTAGACAGTCTATCCCTTATAAGTGCTCAAGTGCTGTGCTGGGAGCACCGTTGTTCCATGCAGAGCTGCTGGGTAGGTACTTTTAAGTCTGCTGCAGCGGAACTCATAACTGCCTCTTTTCCCAGGTGCCCTGTCCTAGGAAGGTCAGCTTTATTTATAAGTTCCTGTTGTGCTGCTGCCTTTTCTCATAGATGCCCTGCCATGCGTGGAGTAGTCTAGTCACAGTCTGCCAGCAGAGGTTATTGGTTATTGTCATTCAGCCTTTGTAATCATTTTTATTTGTCCTCATACAGAGGCTTTGAGCTTAAGTTATAATATAAAAACAGTTTCACTATCTTTGTGAATGAGCTGCAAAAGCCAGAAGTCAGATTATATCAGATACGAAATATACTCTTGGAAGCAACAGGTGGCACAGACTATACCTATACAAATCCATTTCCTCTAAACACATATAGGTGAGCCAGTCACTAGACAGGAATTTGAGAGGTGCTCAGATCCAGATTCATAAGCTAACATTGGTGATAATGTTTCAGCCTGGCTTGTAAACTGATTCTTATTAAGGTGTTATGTAGTCATTTGGCAAAAATGGTGGTTCTGGGAGCTTTAATCATTTTTGCCAAATTATGTAAATGCAAATCTTTATTTATTTGCTTGTTCATTTATTTATTTTGGAGAAAAATATGTTGCATTTTCAAGTATTTAAAGGATTATTTTAAATTGTGCAAATGATGATTCAATGCCTACACTATGCAGGCACTATAATACCAGAACAGCCAGTTTCAAATAGTCTGTATGATGGTGGAAGAGAAATATAAGAAAGAAATGTAATGCCAGACAGGATGCAGTATGTGCATTATAGGGCACAAGTTATATATTATGGGGATGTAGTAATTCATTCTGATTGGGGTACTTGAGAAATTTTGATGGAAAAGATGGCATATATCTATGCCTTGTAGGATGAGGAGGTTTTTTGATAAAGTTTGGAAAGAAGAACATGAGCTTCCTTCTGAGACAGTCTAAGATGCATAAATAAACTGAGAATAAATACTAAACAGTATTTTCAGATTGAAAGTATCCTTGTCCTTTTGTTTGGTTTTGTTGTTGAGACAGGGTCTCATTCTGTTGCCCAAGCTGGAATTCAGTGGTGTGATCTTGGCTCACTTTCCCTTCTACCTCCTGGGATCAAGCAATCCTCCCACTTCAGTCTCCCAAGTAGCTGGGACTGCAGGCACATGCCACCATGCCCTCCTAATGTTTTTTCTTTTCTGTAGTGCCACCATGCCTTGCTAATTTTTTTTTTTCTTTTCTGTGCAGCAGGAGGTCTCACTATGTTGCCCAGGCTGGGAAAGCATCCTTCTATTATTCATATTTTTGAAACTTTTGAGACTATCATAGCCGAACTCACTAGAAAGAAAAAATATCCTGCAATGAAGAAAAGTATTAAAATTTAAGCATAATTATTTTACCAATAAATTGAATAATTCGTTTTCAACAATAGTTTACAATTCTAATATGTTATTTTGTACTTAGCAAGATTTAGTCTTATTATCAGTGAAACACAGCTGTGTTTATTCAACACAACCTTTTGATAGAAGGTTTCACTTGTTTATAAGGAAAGAAACTAATGTGCATTTTGTTTTTTAAAGGTAGGAAATATATAGTACACAAGTTGATTAAAATGTTTCTTATATAAACATTCATAAAAGGGACTGCAAGTTCCTTTGGGAAGGTACTTGGATACATATGGGTCTTTAGAAGATGGAGCTCAATTCTATCTTTCCTACCAACCCACTGTGTTCCCAACACCGGTCACTTAGAAAAGACAAAAGATACATGTGCATTTCACCCAATCTCCTTATTTAGGTTTTTCAGTATAAAAGCTGGAGACCTATAGCTTTATGTTTTAGCAAAACAACTATTTTTTTTCAAATTTTTTATTTTAAATCAAGTTTTCTATACATAATATTCTTGTGCTGGTACCTCCCCTGCTGTTTAGCAGTTGCTTCCAGCTTCTGGTAGTTTTAAACTAGAAAGTCATAATGCCAAATCTAGGGCATGTTGTGTTTGTCAGGCAACATTTACTAGTACAAAGCTTGATTTCTCAGCATAGTCCATATGATTCTATCAACTTACATTTATGTAGCATCAGAGTTTCATCAAAGGTTTCATTATTTCCATTTGGCTGATTCATTCCACTGTCTTTTTGGCTTAAAAATTGGGGGGGAAAAAGCCGGGTGTGGTGGCTCACACCTGTAATCCCTGCATTTTGGGAGGCCAAGGTGGGTGGATCATGAGGTCAAGAGATTGAGACCATCCTGGCCAACATGGTGAAACCCTGTCTCTACTAAAATACAAAAATTAGCTGGGGTGGCACATGGCCTGTAGCCCCAGCTACTCGGGAGGCTGAGGCAGGAGAATTGCTTGAACCCAGGAGGCAGAGGTTGCAGTGAGCCGAGATCGTGCCACTGCACTCCGGCCTGGCGCCTGGTGACAGAGTGAGACTCTGTCTCAAAAAAGAAAAAATTGGAAAAAGAAGTAGAAAGGCTGTATTATTACCAGGCTAATTTACTTGAATAGTATTAAGCCAACCTTCTGCTTCCCTTACAGCTTCCTTTCCCCTCACTTACTTCATCTTTCTCTCTAGAATTAAGTATTAATTTATAATGAAAAGACAGTTTCTTTTTAATGATCATTGAGTAGGCAAAAAGTAAACAATATGATTTTGAACACTTTCCTTTTGATCTTAAGGACTTATACTACAAAATAGTCTATCTTTCCTCAACTAAAAAGTCACAGAATCTGTTATTTCTTTAGTAAAACATAGATCCAGAAATTGGTAGGTAGAACATGACATTAGAGTATAGTCAAACTCACAAAGTAACTAACTTTCCATATTTTTTATTTTATTGAAGTTTTAGTTGCATAGCATTTTTGTGCCAGTGACATGATACAAAGGAGCTATTCTGTAAGTTATTTCTAAAACTTGGTTGATAAATAAAAGTTGGCACAGTGGAATTCTAAAAGAAATAGTTGCCCATAAAAATGGTCTTGAGAATATATTATTATGACTAAATCAAATCATGGAGTATATATTTCATTTGTTTTGCATAATTGGTATTCTTTTCAGGAGAAGTACGATGACAATTATAAGGCCCATGCAGAGAAGAATCAAGGCCAGTCAGAGGGGAACCTGCATCAATCAGAAGGAAATCTGGACAAATCAGAAGGATCTCAGGGCCAACAAGAAGAAAATCATCATTCTGAGCAATCCCGATACCACTTAAAGAGATCTCATTGTCAATCAGAGAAATCTCAAGGGCAACTAAAGAGATCTCATAGCCAATCTGGGAGATCTCATGGCCAATCTAAGAGATCTCATGGTCATACAGAGAGATCTCATAGCCACTCAGAGAGATCTCGTGGCCAATTAGAGAGATCTCATGGTCACTCAGAGAGATCTCATGGTCACTTGAAGAGATCTCATAGCCACTCAGAGAGATTTCATGGTCACTCAGAGAGATCTCATGGCCAATCAGAGAGATCTCATGGTCACTCAGAGAGATTTCATGGTCACCCAGAGAGATCTCATTGTCACTCAGAGAGATCTCATAGACACTCAGAGAGATCTCATAGACACTCAGAGAGATCTCATGGTCACTCACAGAGATTTTATGGTTACTCAAAGAGAGCTAATAGCCACTCAGAGAGATCTCGTGGCCAATTAGAAAGATCTCATGGTCACTCAGAGAGATCTCATGGTCACTTGAAGAGATCTCATAGCCACTCAGAGAGATTTCATGGTCACTCAGAGAGATCTCATGGCCAATCAGAGAGATCTAATGGTCACTCAAAGAGATATCATAGCCACTCAGAGAAATCTTGTGACCAATCAAAAAGATCTCATAGTCACTCAGAGAGATCTCATGGCCAATCAGAGAGATCTCATGGTTACTCAAAGAGATCTAGCCACTCAGAGAGATCTCATGGCCAATCAGAGAGATCTCATGGTCACTCAAAGAGATTTCATAGCCACTCAGAGAGACCTCATGGTCACTCAGAGAGATCTCATAGTCACTGAGAGAGATCTCGTGGCCAATCAGAGAGATCTCATAGTTGCTCAAAGATATCTCATATCCACTCAGAGAGACCTCATGGTCACTCAGAGTGATCTCGCAGTCACTAAGAGAGCTCTCATAGTCGCTCAAAGATATCTTACAGCCACTCAGAGAGATTTTGTGCTTGTTTACTCAGGGAGATCTCGTAGCCCCTCAGAAGAATCTTGTGATCAATCAGAGAAATCTCATGGTTGCTCAGAGAGATCTCATAGCCACTCAGAGAGATCCCGTGGTCTCTCAGAGAGATCTCATGGTCACTCAGAAAGATCTCGTAGCTACTCACAGAGCTCTCATAGCCACTCAGAGAGATCTCGTAGCCACTCAGAGATCTCATAGTCACCTTAGAGAGATCTCATGGCCACCCAGAGAAATTTCATGGTCACCCAAATCTCATGGCCACTCAGGGAGATCTCATGGTTAATCAGAAAGATATCAGAGATACTCACCAGGTAAATATACGATGACTTCTTAATCATCAGAACAATGTGTCAAATGATGTGGAAATAGAAAAGCATGTATCTATATTCTAATGGTTATGTATTTGTTGAAACAGACATATTTTGGGACAAAGACATTATTATAATGGAGGTAATATGTACATGCTGTCAATGTTCTTTCAACTTGATGTCCTCTAAACTATCATCCAGTTACCAAAGATGTCCCATTAAGTTGTCCTTAGCAGACAAATGATAGACGTATCTTTGGGCAGCTGACCTTTCTGCTTTCCTCAAATCAGACCATAGGAGAGGATATATTCTAGGCATAGATATATTGCTAACCTTCTGAGTATATTTTGAATACATTTATATATTCATTGTTGCCTTATAAAACTGCTAGAGTAGGTCTGTCTACCCTAGCAAAAGAAACAGAAATTTAAATATACTGTGAGTTGAGTTTTTAAAACCACAAGATATGTTTATTGCAGTTTGTTTGGTTATTCAATAAAAGTTTTGGTTTGAATTTCTCAATGATTGCCTTGTTTGTATTGACTATGAATGTCTAGTCAAGTATTTTGGGTTCATATTAACTGCTGCACAGAATTGCTTACTTCAGCTAAAAAAAAAATTATTTCTGGCCGGGCACAGTGGCTCATGCCTATAAGCCCAGCATTTTGGGAGGCAGAGACGTGTGGATCACTTGAGGTCAGAAGTTCAAAACCAGCCCAGCCAACATGGTGAAATCCTGTCTCTACTAAAAAAGCAAAAGTTAGTCAGGCATGGTGGTAAGCACCTGTAATCCCAGCTACGCGGGAGGCTGAGGCAGGAGAATTGCTTGAACCCGGAAGGCACAAGTTGCAATGAGTGGAGATTGTGCCGCTGTACTCTACACTGGGTGACAGAGCAAGACTCTGTCTCGAAAAAAAAAATATTTCAAAGATATGTGTATGAATTGTTGTGTATGTAGACAATGTCTGATGCAGGCATCATTTTAATGCAAAAGGTCCCATCCTACTTATATTAGCAGTATACACATAATTTGCTATAAAAATTAAAATATTTAACACTGATGACAAGTAATTCATATTTCTGCAATTATTAGGGATTTGTACACATTTTACTTAATTTTACATATCAGTTTTTGTTTGTCAAGTAGTATAATACTTCCATTAAGGCACTGAAAATTCTATTTAAGTTATTGTCCAATTGACATATTCCTATTGTTTTGCAAATACATTTTAAAATATAAGGAACAAGTCCATTTGGTTTTCTTTGTTTATGTTCTATTACAATTTTTTGTTATTCTCAGCACAAGTAGGCACCACCTGAATGGTTAAGGTTAAATTAATCACATGTAGAGTTATTACTAAAGAATACATAAATTACAGAAAAATAACATGCATTAATTGATCTTTTGGAGACTAAATATTCTGCTCCGTAACTTTCCATTCTAATATGTATTAGAATAACAATAAGTTGACCAGATGGGTTTAATAGCATCCTTTAGAATTGGAATTTGCTTCTATGCCAAGTATAAAATAAAGACTTCAGTAATTTCATGATCCCACTCAAAATCTTCTCCTCAGGCCAGCTTCGCCAGAAGGTGTAAACATACTGGAGAGGCTGTATTTCTACTTTAAACAAACAGGTTAATATAGAAGGTCAATGTGGCCTTAATACATAGCTGGGCAAACACCTCAAATAAAATATGATAGCATATACAGAATATTATTTATTTGTGAAGTTTAGAATAAGTATTTTCATTTTTGAAAACTGATATGACTCCCAAAAACCTCTAGACAGGATTTATGCAACCAAGGTGTAAATTTGAATTTTTAACTCCCTTAAAATACCCGATAATTTCAGGTTTTTCTCTTCTTTCCTTATATGGTAATAATACTCATAGGCAAATGCCTTCCTTCCTTGGCTGGATTGATAGGTAAATCGAGAGGGATAGCAGAATAAAAACTGTCTTTTGTACCCCACTAGGTAACATACATGAAATGTGTGGCAAAACATGTATATCTTTACATTAGTTGGGCTGTCCACCTGTTTAAAGCTTTTCTAAACATAGATAATAGCTTCAGAAGAAATTAGGTGGCTAATATGGTAGTGCTTACTATTGTAACTGCAGTTGTAGAGTGACAACTAATATCTCAGCTCTCTTTGAATTTGAATACTAGATAGTATTCCAAGTAATTCTTAAAATAGATTCAGGCTTGATTATAATTGACAATCAGACCTTTGGGTTTCAAATCCCTAATACACTGTATATCATTCTGAAGACCGAAGTTTTTTTCTGATATTTTATTTTCCCATTTTTATTCCCAAATTCTTCACTTTTCCCTAGCCCCATTTGTTGCCCAGTTGTTCGTATTTTTCTTATTTCTTGGAAGAAGATGCCAGTGAGAATCTGGTTTGCATTTTTCTAAGGAATTGGCCTCTAATGGGGCATGAGTAGCGTAAGTGGAAGTAACATAAGAATAAGAAGACATGTCCCCATGTCCCAAATCTGTCAAAGTATATGACATTGGACAAATTAATAACTATGCATCTCAGTTTCCTAATATGTGAAAGGAGGAGTTTGGACTACATGACTTTAAAGACCTATACCAACTAAAAACATTGTATGAGTTCATGGAAAAGGAATGATTTATTCATTTTTTCATTCAAAAAACTGGTTAAAAAGATACAAAATTTACCATCTTAACCATTTTTAAATGTAATTCAATAGTAAATACATTCACATTATTATGCAGCAAATCTCTAGAACTTTTTCATCTTGTGGATCTTAATTATATACCCCTTAAACAACTCCCCTTTTCCCATTTCCCTCAGCATTCCCTACCATTTATTTTTTCCTATGATTTTGACTAATTCGTAGACTTCATATAAATGGAGTCATTCAAGATTTGTCTTTTTGTGACTGTTTCATTTCACTTAGCATCATGTCATCAGCATTCATCTATATTGTAGCATGTGAGAAGATTTCTTTCATCTATTAGGCTGGATGATATTCCATGGTATGTATATACCACATTTTCTTTATCTGCTCATCCCTTTATAAGCATTTGGGTTGCTTCCACAACTTAACTATTATAAACAGTACTGCTACAAGCATGGATGTGTAAATCTCTTTGAGACTACCCTTTCTGTCTTTTGGGAATATACCCAGAGGTAGGAATAGTAGATCATATGGTAGTTCTATTTTGAATTTTCTGAAGAACGGCCATACCATTTCTATACCAGTTGAACCATTTTACAATCTCAACAGCACACAATTGTTCCAATTTCTCCATATGCTCAGCAATACTTGTTCTTTTCCATTTTTCTGGTAATAGACAACCTAATGTATATGAAATGATATCTCATGTGGCTTTGATTTTGATTTCTCTGATGATTAGTGGTGTTGAACATCTTTTCATATCCTTGTTGTGCATTTCTGTATCATCTTTGGAGAAATGTCTGTTCAAGTACTTTCCTTGTCTTTTAAATTGGGTTATTTGAGTTTTTGATGTTGTAGGAGTTCTTTATGTATTCTGGATATTAACCCTTTATTGATATTTAATTTGCAAATATTTCTCCCATTCCATGGGTTGTCATTTCACCCTGTCGATTGTGTCTTCTGATGCACAAAAGTTCTTAACTTTAATAGTCTTATTTGCATACATTTTGTTTTTGTTGTTTGTACATTTGATGTCCTATCCAAGAAATTATTGCTAATTCCAGCATTATGAAGCTTTCCCCTATGTTTTCTTTAGGAGTTTTGCTTTAGATCTTTAATTGATTTTTAGTTAATTTTTGGATATGATATATGGTAAAGGTCAAACTCCATTCTTTTGCATGTGGATATCCAGTTTTCCTAATACCATTTGTTGAAGAGACTGTCTTTTCGTCACCTTGGCACCCTTGTTGAAGATCATTTGATCATATAAGCAAGGCTTTATTTCTGGGCTTTTTATTCTATTCTGGTGTTCTGTCTGTCTTTATGCCAGCATGATGCTATTTCTTTTGGTAGGAAAAACAAAATTCCTGGTGCCACTTGCATGTTTGCTTTCCAGAGGTGATGGCCTCCTATAAGCTTTCCTTTTGTCCCTGGATGAAGGCTTTTTAATTTGGTAAGACCACATTTTCCCATGCTTCCTGTTCATCACTAAAGTGATAGCTATGAACCTTAATAATAGGAAACTGGAGGCTAGGTGGGTTTCTTTTGTCCTTATGAAAGAATTTAGCATAAGAAAAGAAGGTTTAAGTTAACCTTAAAAGAGTGAGTTTGCTCCCAGCTATGCCACATGTAGGGATCAGGGACCACAATGGGAAAAGTTAGAAAAGAGTAAAGAAGGAGAGGAAAAAAAAGGAAAAAAAAAAAAAACCCAGGTCCTTTACCCAAACCTGGTGCTTAGGCACCTCCACATGGACACCCCTTAGTTTCACTGGCCATGGCCAGAAACCTCTAGTTGCCTCCATGTTTAGCTGCTGCTCACCAAGGGTCCTAAGCTGGAAAGGAAAAGAGAGAAAGAGAGAGATTTCCCCATATGAAGCAGAAAGGAAAAGGAGAAAATTAAATCCCAAACTTTGGGCTTACCTCCTGGCTGGCTCACCAAAATATGTTACCAGTAGAGGGTGTCCAGGTTCTTGTCATCTAGAATAAAGAATTGGACAAAATGCTCAAACAAAGCAAGAAAAGAAAGAAGCAACAGAAGCAAAGATTTATTGAAAACGAGAATGCACTCCACAGTATGGGAGAGGTCCTGAGCATAGGAACTCAAGAACCCTGTTTCAGAATTTTCTGGGATTTACGCTCTAGAGGTTTCCACTGATTGCTTGGTGTAAGCCCTATATAAATGAAGAGGATGAAGTAAAGTTATGAAGTAATTTACTTAGTGTACACCCTATGTAAATGGAGAGGATATCTCCTGTCATAACTGAAGTATTTCCATATGATTTAGTTCTAGGAAGTAAGGGTGAATTGGCCTTATGTTCC